TGCACAATAATTAGTATTGTGAATCCACGACGATGAGAAGTATTATTCGCATATTATAGTATAGAAACTCCTATAAAAACACCATCGCCGACCGTAGCAACTCGATACAGTCCGCAATATCCCTTTATACTGTAGCACATTTATATTGCCCTTTCCTTACACAAACTTCCTCTTTGTATACATATTACACTTTCAATACTGCTCGTAAAACGTCCAACAAAGTAATTTTATATTTGGTGTACATTTTAACAACATTTTTAACCGTTATAGATTGCATATTGGTAGTACTAAATTGAAAAAGTACCTATTCAGTACTCAGTGGCGTGACAAGCATACTTCAAACCCTAAACAAAGTATTTAAACATAAAAATATTCAATTTTGTAATAAAAATTATAATTCTTTTAGATAAACTATTTGTTTATTTAAGTTACACAAAAAAAGTTAATATTTTGAATTTATTACAGAATACTTGAATAGCCATACTTTTCAGAAGATTTTGATTTTTTCAACAGCTCTTTGTTCCCTTTAACATATTTGTATAACCCTTTGCAAGTCATGTTATAATTAACTTGACTCCATAGTTTCTGGGAGCAGGGGATTTTATTCATCAGTCCACTGAGTCATCATTAACAAAAACACTCTTACCCATCCGTTTAATCATAGAAGTTTAAAAGCATAATTTTTTATTTTTGATCGGATATTTGTAAGTCATAAAGCAAAATGTGCGAGATTTACAATGAACAGTTTCAATCAGAAAATTTTAGTCTTTTGTCAAAACATCAGGACGTAGATTATATAGACGTATATAACGGTGACAATCCCTATATAATGGGACGAATGGCAACCCTATACATATAGGTTTTTCCTTAATTCCTTTCAAATATCTAACCTATCTATTATATGTGCATATTAAATAATTTTTCAATGCATACAATTAGCCAATTTATTTAATTATTTAAATAAAATATGTTCATAAACACATGAGCCAAAGGATACCCAGTCCCTTAATAGGTTTTTAGGGTTAAACCATTGCATTAGACAAACGTCGTTCACCGAGCCACTATCGATGTTTTTCATTTATAAAAGCAGAAATTGGCTGGAGCTAAATCACATAATTTAATCGAATTCTTTAGTAACTTTATTATTTCATTTATAACAGTAATAGTAAAAATATTAGTATACAAGTATACCAAAATGGAAATAACTTTAAAAACCTCTCCCCGACTGTATGCTTCAGTAATTAGATATGGTACTAAATATCCTGCTCATTTACACATATTATATATTTAAGCGTTATCATTTATAGAGAAATATATAAAAAATTTAAAAATTGTCTATCTTATATATAATACGGTAGCAGCGTCTTGTCATTGTGTAAACTAGAAATTTCGTTGTTCCTAATAATTTTTATACAACTGTTTTTTTTCCTTTCCTCCAAAAATTTATATTTACTAAAATATTCTAAAACACCTATACCGAAAAGTATTAATTGTCTTTATAAAATATTCTGTTGGTCAACACACTGCGGTTGAAGGATTCTCCACTGGTCGAAATCAATTTGTCGCATCTTTCAATAGGGTGTTAGTATTGACGGGAATATAATTTACGCCAAGTTTGGTAAACGTATTAAAAATAAGGTCAATGGTGTAAACGGTGAGAAGATATTTATGTCGAGATCACGCTGTTATTATGAAAAAAAGCAGTTTAAGATGAGTTCCACTAAATTATCTTTCGAATCAAACACTTCATACCACATATAGACGTATTTATTATTTATATTTGTAGTAAATCATCAGATGGATCATTTAATATTTTATATATTTTTTATATTTCTTATAGATTTACTTATTTTATTAAATTGTTTGTATATAAATAATTATTAATGACTGTGATTCATGTTTGCATATTTCTAAATAAATATACTGTATAATTATAGCTATAAGTGGCCAACCATTGAACTTGTACATGAGGTCTAATTCATTGTTTTTATACTATGTGAATGCTCTCTAAGTTCTTATTAATATTTGGAATTTTACTAGTATAACATTATATTATTGCTTTTAATAATCAGGGACACGCAAACTTAAGAACCCACAAACTATTTTAATTGCTTTTTAACTTTTTACAATCCCATCGTTTTGTAATAAATAATTGTACAATTGTAATGCTATAATATACATAAAATAATGTGTGATTGCGTGCCATAGCATACAGAGGTTGAGGTAATTTTACTTTTCACACCTTTGTTGGTTTGGTACCTACTAAACACGTGTAGGATTGTTTTTTTTATTTTCTCGATCACTCACGAATAAATTTGTTTTTTTCATCTGCACCTATATATATATATATATATATCATAACAATATCTCCCGTTTACGTAATTTAAATTCTAATCTATAATATTATCTTTTATTTTCGTTTCAGGTAAGTCATTGAAAATATTGCATTATGTATATCTGGGTACACGGACCACGTATACATGACCGCCGCCGCGGCCCCCGTGCAGCTCAATAAGTACTACCAATTGCATAACTAAAGGTGATTTTTATTATATTATTTGTGAATGACTTTTGAGGTTTCTTACCCGAAAAATCTGATGCTTTCGACAATGGCTACGCCCCAAAGTCAATCACGATCCAGGTGAATCATTGTATTCTTATGTATGTATAAGATACCTTGTGTATATAGCGGGTATTATTAGTATTACGTGGTGGTATATAAAATATATCTGAACGGTCCTTGACTGTTAAATAACAAAAACAATGTTAAGGCCTATTATCCGGTCGTAGGAAAAAATAAAATACACGCATGCATTGGAACGCAAAGCCATGTAGTAATTACGGCTCTGAAATAGATTTTTCTCTCTCTTATTATGTGCGCTCATGATACTTGTATATCTATGACCACCGCACGTCGTTATGCCATCCAGTAAAGTATCGATCGCATTTTTATAAATCCCACGTGCTTGTAACCACTTGGTTATACTCTACTAATTAAGATACTTAGCCCGGCCCTAAATGGAATTTGGAATAAACCATTGCGGGATAACGAGTTCGTCCAGTTCGCCGATGTTTGTATATAGAGGTTTACCACACCCTACAAAACATATTTCTTCATATCCCTCGACCGGAACGATATCAGTCTTGGATTTACAAAGAAAATATGCGTCAATTAGCTTTCGAGTTATTAACGTTACGAGTATGTGTTTGATTAGCCTATATTATATTTGATGGATAAAGCGTAATATTAGGATTGCGATTAGATAGATTAATATTGCATAAAAATCGTGTGTTCATAAAAGTACATATACTTTATTGTTTATACATAAATGTGTATAAGACGTATCCTAATGTAATGCAATATTTTTTGCTCTAAGGAAATTTTTGAGTGAGCGTATACCACAATACATGTGTAATATATATTTTATATTGACTAATCCTTCGTTATCATAACATAAGTATTTCATTGGATCATGATAAGCGTTTATAGGTGCACTGAATCATTACAGTCTACAATTGTACACTGCCGAGCACAATAGCCCTTCTGCTCCGTTTATCAGATTGCAGCATTTGTATTATGTTATTTTAGAATATTACATAATCATAAAATAGTGCAACTGCACCTTAACTCCGAACAAATCAAACTATGAATCGTCTTTTATGTTGATAATATCGTGGTTAAAAATTAATTTGAACACCATCCGTTTTCCTTGTGTATGATATTTATTATTATTTTTTAATATTTTTTAAATTAATTCGTACATAGGTAAAATTATGAAATTCTTGTTTTCATCGTTTCTAAAATGTGTGTTTATAGAATTAAATTAGTCAATGATGATGATGCAATTATATTTATATATTTATTAATTATTACTATTAGAGTTTAATTATTTAAAAACATATCAAATAATATTAGGCCTCAACTGATGACAGGTTGATTATCGTTGAATAGTAACTTTAATAATATTGAATAGATTTTAGTCTTTGTAAAGTTGTTGGTTTTTACCGAGGTTTATGAATGTGTATAAATGCTAAGCATGCTATTATTTAAAATCATATTTATTATTATATGTTATTGTTTTTTGAAAAAAACGTGTCTTGGTTACTATTCGCCTAAGAGGACATAATACTCGTATATATAATGACTCTATGCGTCCAACAAAACTATACTGAACATCTTCGTTCATACCATTGTATACAAACAGGATATGGTATTATCTTGAAAATATTCTCTTCTTTAAAGTCAATAATAATTTTTAAACTATACTTTTTATACTTTTTAATATATATGTAATAAATTTAAAAAACTATTATCAAATTTAAAAAGGAGAAACTTTTTCATACGCGCTAATTTATTACTTAATTAATAAGTGTTTAGTCATAACACTATTGTATATTGGTCTCGGGCGATATTTTTACCAATCTCGAAAATAGTAATATTATCTGTGCAGGTAGTGATGGGTTTTGAAACTATAATATTAACAAAAATGCTACAATTATTGTATAATGCTGCCATATCGTATGATAAACAGGGTGGACATTATAAACAGACAACATATACCTTCTTTTAATGGAATAATATCCTAAAAATACTGTAAACAATGTACTTTACTACCGTTTACTATTTGTTCGTCCGTTATGACTTAAATCGCTGCGATTATGATTGTTGATAATATTACACTACTGTGACAGTGTATATTATCTGAATACATATAGAGATATGGATTATCTGTTATATTTGTAGATCGAAATTATTTTAATTTGAAAACTGTAACGAATAAGGTATGTGTACGTGCCTGTAACATCGTTTTAGTTTAAATTTTACTGCGAACAAAAATAATTTCCTGCGCGCGTATTTCGTCAATTTTATTGTCATCTAGATGCTAACAACGTAGTATATGATGAAGTATGAAGTAAAAGAAAAAAAAAACGTAACGCTCAACGAGTGGTTATGGCCATTTTAGTATCTTAAAACTTATTATGGATAGGGGCATACGTCTCTGTCACAAACTGGAAATATACCTGTTTACTGGAATCGCGCACAACTGTCACAAACATGATCACCCATTACGCCGCGCGAGTTATACTTCTGTATAAAAGCGTCGCGTCGCTACGGTTTGTCATATTCAGTCATCAGCCGTGATCGCAAAGTCTTTAGACAACTACAATTCTGTCGTGTGCAGTTCGTACAGTTTGATTTTTTTCCCAAGTCTCGTGCAACCAAAAACCAATACCATGTTCGCCAAAGTAAGTACAATCATCATATCGTACTGTATTATACTCTATCTAGCTTTGTCCGTGCCTCGTCACAAATGATATCATTTTCTCGAGATCATAAAATAACACATCGCCGGGCGAATAGAAACAGCCAATGGCCGCGTTAAAATAGTGTCGTTGAATCAACGGCTGTAATTGTTTATGCGCGCATGCACGGTATCAGATCTACACTTGAAAAAAATTAATCCGAATCAAAATCGATACGATCGTTTTAACTAGAGAATGCACTATTCCGATCAAGATCTTACTCCTTCCGACAAAAAAACGATCATACCAAATTAATAATCCAACACCGCCGTCAAACGTTTAACGATGTAAAAGGCCGTATAGCCTAAACAAATCGTGGTATTTCGTCCGAATAGAGCCGGTCGTAACACCACGAGTTCCGCACCCGATAACGCGCGTCAAAGGTGCACACGATTCGCACAAAAAATTCTTCTCCGAAACGCTATTTGCTTATTTATTCAATTTTTTATTGTTTCCTCCCGTGCACGTTATACAGGTAGCAGTGTGCTTCGCCTGCGTGGCCGTCTTCGCTGCGCAAGCTCAATACTATCCTGCGGCCGCGGTGGTGCCCGCGTACCCGGCCGCTGCCGCTTACGATACCGTCAACCCGAACCCTTCGTACTCGTACAAGTACGGTGTGGCTGACCCGTCCACCGGCGACTACAAGACGGCCGAAGAGAGCCTGTCCAACGGCGTGGTCCAGGGACAGTACAGCCTGGCCGAACCGGACGGTTCCGTCAGGACCGTGACGTACACCGCCGACGACGTAAACGGTTTCGTGGCCCAGGTCAGCAAGGGTGCAAAGGTTATTGCCGCACCGGCCGCTCCCGTGTACCCAGCCGCTCCAGTGTACGCCGCCCCGGCTGCTCCCGTGTACCCGGCCGCTCCGGTGTACACAGCAGCCCCAGCCATCTCCTACCCTTACCCGTACAAACGTCAAGCGTGAGTTTGAACACGTCTAAGGAGTTCATCACTATCTCTATCATGCTGCATCATTAAGTTTAACCAATAATATTATGTAACAACGTCGATGCAGTTCTTCCATTATCGCGTCATCCACTTCTTGTCCCTCTCTCTCTTTTTTTTTTTTTTACTATTTCATATTATATATTATTACGTAATAGTTTTTATATATTTTATACTTAGTTTCCTATGTTATAATAAACGTTGTGCTTGTATATCAATTATTGTTTGTTATTGTACTCTATGTTTCTCAAGCGGAACAAGTATAAGTGCAGATGTGTACGTTTCATTCGTCATGTGTGCCCAAAAATAAAACCATAGTGACTATTGTGTTCTCGATATTTATTCGAAACCAACAAAAACGTCACGCGGTTTTCGGTTCCCTACAAATCGGTTTAAAGATGACTTATCGTGACGGACAAGATTTTGCTGTGTTTCGGTAATAGAAGAAGAAAAATACCATCGGGAAATCCGTAAACATTCACGTTTATCGTTGTTCTTTGTGTTCGAATTTTCCGCGAAAGGCTCTGTCAACAAGTATTCTGACGTTTAAATATTTATTATATTTTTTTCGTCGAAGCAGAACATGTTCATTCTATTGCCACTGGACTATGTTAAAACTTGATTATTTTCGATCTACATCTCTATGCAATACTGTCGTCCTGTGTAGTAAATAAGTACTATCTACACGGTAGAAAAGAATCAATTATTAACTAAATCGTAACTAAAAGTACCATCATGATGTCATTCTTAAATTCTTTAAAAATTATATGTATTCATAAAAATATTAAAATAATCTAATTAGAAAATACTTAATAGTTTATGAGGCAGAATAAAATAAACATTCCTAAATATAAGGAGAACAGAACTAATATTTTTTTGTACCATTTGAAGAATTATTGCATTCAAAAATTCTCTTGGGGGCATTATTTACTATATATTTATTTTTGCTTATGACTATATTGTCCATAACTATATTAACCATGTTCATGTTTATCATTACACGTCATATTTTTACACATTTTACGATTACTATTATAAACTATTTGATTGATTATTTTCTATATTTACTTTACTTAACTTTATACATCTATTATTTCAATTTATTGTCATTTGAACGTGATTATAATAAAATAAAAGACAGCTTTGTTCATAATAAATTATAATTGTATATGTATTGACTATCTATTACAAAATTATAAAACGATAAAAAATGTACCTATAGGTAGACTATTGTTTGCCGTTTTAGGATGTACGGTGTAGATATCATTTCGTTTAATTATTGTCGTTTTTCTGGTGCAGCAATAGCGTGCAATAACAATACTTAACAATATCTTTAATGTCAATTCGCTGAACGATTTCGTATAATGTTTGAAGACGTCCATCTGAGAAAAATGTACTATGATCCGGCTTTTATATTATTTATATCTATGGTGTGGGAAACTGTCAACTATAATTATAATGTGTCAGTTTTTTAGGGTTTACTCTGCACACTATTAACAAAGTTTAAATTATTAAAATCAATGAAGATAAAAAAAAAATTTATTTTGTTTCTATTGCTTGGAAGTTATTGCACTATAAAGCATTAAAATCGATTACGCTATCGCAGTAAAATTTTCATTTAAAATTTGTATATATATTATCAACATTTACAAAGATTTTATTTGAATAATTGTAATTTTTTTTTTTAATACACATTTATGTGCTTAAAAATTATTGCGCTGGATGATAAATAATTTTTCTTAGTTCTCAAACTTGAAAAATTTCCTATTTTATGACAGCAAGTTATACATCATCTTATTAAATATTTGCACCACTGCCATCGCAATCGACAGTGCCTGAAAAAATCATCAATTATTATTTATTATTTTAATATTATTCTGCCATATATTAATATCTAACACGATCCCCATTGTTGTTAAACTTTTATGTTAAACTTTTTACGTAAAAAAAAAAAAAAAAATCATGTGAATAATATTTAAAAGTATCTAAAACTGTATTATAAATGAAAAAAATAAACAAAATTTCTATCGAATCGAAAAAAAATACCAACAATTGCATAAAATTACTTCACATTTTTTAGATTTTAATTCTTACTTGCATAGAACAAATGTATAACCTACTTAATAATAAATTCAAACAAAAGAAGAAAATGTTGCAACAACTTCCGAGGGTTAGATTATTACCGTACGTGTACATGATGTATATTTCAACCGTGATTTCTTACGAAAATTGAATTTCACTGTCGTATTTTAATTTCTAATGATAATATATAATATATATACGTATCTACGTCCTTTTGTATTGTATAGTTCTCAGTTAAACGCCGTAAACTGTAACTCACGTTTTCGGGCGAAAAAATTATGATTTTTGGTCAGGGTATAATAATTACTATAATATTATATTAATTACGTATGTTATATACATATGTATTATGTATATATGTTAAGTGTTTGCAATGTTCTCTTGTTCGGCTTTATCCATAGGGTGTGCCCTCGTCGAACTGTCGAGAATCCAAGGCGATGATCTCCATATCATGTATATAATAGTATAATATATGTGTAACGTATACAGTGTTTATAATAGCGGCGTTTGTCGCACATTGTGTTTTTGTTCTGTTAAACGCAATCAGGCGTATCGAAACGAAAAGAAAAGCGTACACTGCGATTCCTTTGACTTTGCTTTTGTCTTTGCGACTCAAAGGTCAACGTATATTAGCATCGGAACGCGTTGTCGTCTACGCGGTCGCCGTCATTACAATATCCGATCTCGTTCGGGGTTCCATTTTGTACACGAGGTAGTTGACAAAATAAACATCGTTCACCAGCCAAGGATCGAGAGGCACGCGTTGTCCTGTTAAGTAACGATTTAAGGTACGCTCAAACCGAAGCGGTAGCGGTGGCGGTAGCGGCAGCGAAATTGAATGTCCATACGTTTTAATACGAGCGCACTATCGTGAAATTAATGCCGTGGCGAAAATGTTACCGCAAGATTGAGCACGATATTTTTATTTTTCGCTGCAGACACTATATTTTTCGCTTACCTCTGCGATAATCAGTTTTAAAATACATGTACGCGCATGGGTGTCACAATGTCTACTAGTAATTTTCGGCGAAATATTTCGCCTTCCGGTTAGGTTAGATCAGCAGTATTTAAAAAGCGATAAATACTGCTGCCGCTACTGTCACCGCTTCCGCTTCGGTTTGAGTGGACCTTTAAACGTTAGCCGTAACGGAGCAGTATGTAATAATAACAACGCAATCCGTCCTAAAGCGTCGCGTTGTCAACGAGCGATTGTGATATTTCCTATAGAACGATTCGCGAACGGTATATGTTCATCGACAATTTAAGCTACTTACGTACAACAACCGTGGTATCGTATAATACGGTCAGACGAAGGAAGTTACCACGGTGACCGAGCCTTTGAGTTACCATCGAAGACATTTCTTTTTACTATATGTAATATGTTATGAAACGAAAACCGTTTCCCGCTCTGCCCTATAAGACCGTAATTTTACGAAACGTGTACGATGATTATTATTACGTCTGATGATGGAAATCATTTGATAAAATTCTATTTAACTCCTGTAGCCAACCACTGTGTCCTTGTACGAGGCGTGGTCTTCATACCTACGTTATTTATGCGCTTCGAAGTACCGATGACCCAGTTTTTTGCAATAGTTAATTTATGCTATATAAATATGCTGTGTATGTGTGATATAATATTGTTCATTTTTACGCGGTCTTTTGAGAAATGGTTTTTCTCTTTTTTTTTTTATTTTATTGAAAACCTGAATGATTTCGTATACCATCAAGACAATACAACTGTTGGATATTATGTTTTGCTGAAAATGACTAGTTTATATAACTACGTATATCCAATCTTTCAAATTAATTTTAAATTTTAAAAATGTATATATAGTTTTTTCCGACTTTTTTTTTTCTAAAAAAAAAAATCATTTTATTTAAAACATGCAATACGATGTAATTTATGATACACTTTGGTAAATACTAAATATTAAAACATTATCTAACATGTGACAAACTATTTTCGATCATTGATGGAACATTAAGAATGACCTCTATTTCTATGGTACAATGTAAAATGCATGTCTACAGTTTTACAGGTTATCTCATTTCTAGTGATGGACAACGTTAGTATTACAAAGCATAGATATATAAAGTTGAAACCAAAAGTAAATCCTTCTATGGTAAAACACAATACAATATCCATTAACATAAGATTATCAGTTTTATTATTATTAAAATACTATCGCATTATATAATCATTATAAATCATTACATTGTTTAAAAAAATATACTCTATTGTATCGACGTCACTTTTCGAACATATTTTTATTTATTATTCGACTGTTTTATGGGTGGTTTAAAAATATAATATTAATTTTATGATTTGATCAACTTATTTCTTTTTTTTTTTAATTCTTGCTGATTAATTTTCTTCATTATACATTTATTTTAATCTTCTTCGAACAGATAATGTTACATATTTTCAAAGTTCAACTAAGTTTTATGGTTAAATGCTTAGATAAGTATTTTTTATTGTGATTTTCTTTTTTTTTTCTTTTTTGGTATTCACGTTTTTGACAGTAGAAGTTCTAAATGTTCTATATTTATTACCGCTATGAGTGGTAAATTAATTACAGACCATACGTAATACCAAGGCCGTAACTGGGGGGGTCCAGAGGTCCGGACCCCTCCCCCGAAATTTTCAAAAATAGAAACATTTTAGCTGTGAATATAGTTTATTAGCTAAAAATTGTATTAAATAACAATGTTAGACTCCCCCCCCCCCCGAAATTTTTTCCAGTTATGGCCTTGCGTAATACCTAAGTATTTTATTCAAGAATTTCATAAAATAAAGCTGTAACAAAATGAAAATAAGTATTTAATTTCTAAAAATATTATTCAAGGTTTTTAACCATTACAATTCATCGAATTAGATAAAATTAAACGATTTACGTTTATAAAATAAGCAGACAATATATTCTCTAATGATAACCATATTGTTAATTACTTCATATAACATATTATGTACTATGTACTTTATATGTGTATCATATTTTTATACTTTTCTTTACAGTCATTTCATTTTCCACTATTTTGGTATATATTTAATTGGATGACCCAATTAAATAAACCTAACATTTAAGTACATTTTTTATACTATTTAAGTTATTGTAGTTATTGGTTTATGATA